AAAAATTAAACATAAAAATTTCTTGTTCCATTTATACTTATTATCAAACCATAGTTCATTTTAACATAATTAGATGTATATTTAGAGGCAAATTTTAACAAAATGCTACAGATTTCTAATGACTATTCAGTGTACTAAGAACGGGACCGCGGACGTCGCACATAGTTAAGGCAGAGAGCAAGGCCCGCCATCTTCCTCGGGAGTCGGTCTCGTCGACGTCGGTTGTTCGACTGACAACGATAGACATTTCGATGTACGGCGGCTTTGTATTAAAGTCGGTTAGTCGCAGCAGTCTAGACTACGAGGTTTCCCGCGGGGAAAGTCGCGGGACTGCGACACTTAACAAATCTAGCATAGGTTCCACTGCTGATGTCATCCCCTACCGACGAAGACGTCCACATCTGAGGCCACGTCACCCTAGCGGTCCTCGACATCTAATTGTAAACGTACGAATATAACATCAAAATTCCCGTTTACGGACACCGTTTGGTAACCTCGTATACAACACCCGACCTGGACATACATAATGTCCTTTCCTCACTAGTCTCCCAGCTCAAACAGCTAAGAACCAAGTCAAAACTAAAAGAGTTGGGAGATCTGAAACTCAACGCGCCGCGACGATTTCTCTCTCGCGATGGTACTTGGTTTGTTACCACATCGAATAATTTCAGGCTCACCTTTGTCACCACTCATTTAGACTAAAACAGCTTTAGCCTCTTTACGCCACTCAGGAGGGCGCTTTTAGCGCTTCCCAACCGTTCATACTGTGTGTGTGTGTTGTGTGTGTGTGTTTGGTGTGTGTGTGTGTGTGTGGTGTGTGTGTGTGGTGGTGTGTGTGTGTCTGTGTGTGTCGTGTGTGTTGTGTGTGTGTGTTACAAGCATAAATCAGAGGACTAAAAATTTACGGGATCATCCAAAACAGTGGTAAAGGTATCGGGGTGGTTCTTTATAAAAGGTGGTCGGCCGGTGACCATTGTGACATTATAAGTCTAGTTGTTGTGTCTATGGTAATAGTAATAAGTAAATATATGTAAAAATAAATAATTAAATTAGATAAAAAACCAAACAAAATAGACTCCAATGGTCCCATAAGAGACTTATGGAGACTTCCGGGACTGCCAAGCGTGTATGTAAATGTTACGTACTAGTCTTCAAGTAACATAATAAGAGATGAACCAAATAAGTGACTACACTTTAGCGTGAGGAGCATTGTACATGGAGGATCGTCGTCTTTCAGTATTGCAGAAATCTAACGAGCCAGGTTATTTTAGGTTCCTCTTTATAGACAAATTTAGACACACTTTTTTTTTTTTCGAAGACAAAGAAAGTCAACATTTAACCCCTTTGTTGCACTTTTACTATTCGAATTTAGATGACGTGTGTAATCGACGGATGTTATATAAAAAGAGAGGAGAGGACGATGTCATAGATAATCGTCTGGGCTTCTCTTACAGCAGATTATACGGAGTGTCAGTTGGAAATATATATTTGTATTTATTTTTAATTTTTAATGACAATCAAACATGTGGGAAGAGGGGGGGCGGCGCCCCTAGCGCCCCTATGGGCCGGCCGGGGGGCGGCGGGGGGTGTGTGTGTGTGTCTACAGACAAGGTCCAGTTGTGATAGACACGGTTCGCCACTAATGTGGAGTGAAGCTAATAAGCACATTTTACTAATAGTGCAAATAAAATGAAATGGCCACAGGTGTTTAACAGTAGTGAGACACGTATGATAGTAGTGTCACTGAGATGATGGTGATGATGATGATGATGATGATGGCGGTGTTCCACTTTACGTAATCCTTTTTGGCCACATAAAGTGTGTGTCACTGCATTGCCCATATTCACACAACACAGCATTTGGGCTGGTCCCTGTTAGTGTGTTGTTAAACTACAGCTCTTATTCACTGATATTATGATAATGCAATACAGCTGTGGTCGTTGTTGTGCCTATATGTTGTCCTGATATTGAAGCAATAACATCTTGTATTTGCTGGAGATAATTTTAAAGGCTGTACATGCCTTCCCAGCTTGGTGCCGATCATCTCAGCTCCCATCCAGCGTTTTGAAGTGGCTGCTCTAAACATGAAAGCAGATTAAAGCAGGCATGCCAGGGTATTTGTGTTGCTTGCCAAATGGGCATTCATGACATTAGGCTCCTTCTCTCATTTTCGGACATTTTACCGCGGGCAGAGGCAACTGCATATATCCACTATGTTATTAATCGAACCAAATTTAGAGAGCATTACACATGATAACCTATTCATAAAAGATTCCCATTACACCTTTTATGCTCTATATGTGAATATGGCCATTTCAATTAAAAGCTTTTGATTGGCAGCCAGTCTCCAAAGATAACCATAGCAACAGTAAAGGCTTATTTCATTATGCAAATAACCTATGATTAATGCATGCATTATATGATATGATATATGTGATTATATTATATTATGTGCTACGTGATTATATTACATTATATGCTATGATATTATATTATATGCTATGATATTATATTCCATTATATGTTATGTTATTATATCATATGCTATGATATGATATGTATCTTTGTCATCATATATAGTACCAATTATATTTCATTAACTTTTTCTTTTTTATATATTTCAATATTTGCGCATCATTTTACTTTATTTTTATTTTATTTTAAAGAATGCACCAATGTCAATACATTCTGATAAAAGAGTGAACGTATACTTTTAACGCACTCTGCATATCCCCTGGTACAGAAAAGAATAGACTTAGTCTAAGAAATAATATGGAGTTTTCTGGTGGTTTTGTATGTCTGTATATATATAATGTCTTTATATCACATTACTATCTCTTACATGTGTGTTGTGGGGCTTGATCCCTGCAGACAAACTCACACAAACAAACACAAGTCCCAGGCAGTTACATAAGGTTTCCCTTGTCAAAAGATTTGGTAAACAAATCTATCACACTAGTGACTGATTTGGTTAGTCAGCCCAGACTGGCAGACGTTACACAATGAGCTCTGGGCTCTCTACTCTACAGCGCTTTTCATTATTTACCACCACTGTGCAACTGAGCAGTCCAAAATTAGGCATCCCTAACGTTGTAATGTATCAATTTGAAGTGACAGCATAAAATAATAATGGTATTGTTGTTTGTGTGTGAGAGAGAGAGAGGTAGAAATGAATGCATGTGTTGATATTTAGGTCCCAGGCGTTTTAAGAAGAAATACGGTATCCTGTCAAAACAGACGCACATGTGTCTTTGTTTGCATTTGCCTCTGCATTTGCTTTCATGTATTTGAGTAAATGTATGGATGAAGACACATGCAGATTTATGTGCATGGATGTCAAAACAACCAGCTATTTGACATAACTAACAGAAAATACAGCAGATGCAAGACACACACTCGACTGTCTCTGTCCTTGGGAAAATAGACATTTAAACCTTTATACTGATGGTTTACCTTCAGCACGTTAGCCTCAAAGTTTATGAATTATAAAGTTTGAATCAACTTGATACTTCAGTGGCCGACAATTCACCCCTCCTGCGGTGTTGTTTTTGACTTTTTTCTAGCTTTTTAAAATGATTGACTTGTGGTGTGTCATTTCAGGGGCAGCTTCGTGAATAATGAATGTAAATAAACAACATAATGACATTAGGTGTTATAGCCTTCTAAGTTATTCACACTGCACTAAGAAGGTTCCCATTTCTTTCCTCTCCGTTAACGAAGCCAGAGAACCACAGCTCTATGTCTAATCCTATATCATATTGTGGTGCTATTACATTTCCTATTTGTCCTATCTTGAACATATCCTTTATGTCTGTTCCTCAACAATGGGTACGTAGGGTATACTTTTTCAAACTGCATACTCGGTGGCTGGATCTATTCTATTCTGTAACGTGACCTCTGGGAAGCAGCACCTCTAGAGGCTGTATTGTTTCTTTAATATATTCACCTTACAATGAAGCGTTTCCTACAAAAGCACTGGCTCTAAAATCTTTCTATGCCACATCACATTATTCATGGAGATTGAAACCCGAGCTCCTCCTGCTTTGGATAAATTCCGTATCATTGCCTTCTCTTTTACCTCAGCTCTCTAGCCTGGATCGGTATTAGCAGAGTCACAACTTTCCTTACTTTGGAGGGAGAAGAGGAACTTATATGGTTTATTTTCTCTTGTTGTTGGACAATATGTTGCATCATGATGTGGGAATGCCACATAAATGCCACTTCAACATACAGTATATCCCATGCCCTTATGCTTCTTTGCGTCACTTTCTTTGATTTGTTCCTAGTTTAAAAGCATTTGGGGGATTTTTACAAACACAGGAACACAGCCTCTTAAAATCTTTGACTTTTGGAATTGTGTCCTATTTGCAATCAAAGTGCTGTATTAATGTGCACGTAGTTGCTGCAAAGTGTATATATTTCTGTCAGGCTGCAGCAGTTTATGGCTGCAGCAGGAAGGCAAACAGGCATAGCAACAGTAACTAAGTCATTTGTTTTGTACATCAAATGTTCTGAACAAAATAAAAGCATCTAAGTTGCTGATTGTGCATGAATTGCCTCAGGATCACCTTTGAAAATGACTAAGTTTGTGGAGTCCTTCTTCACTTCACTTACAACCAATTATACTTTAAATGTGCTTAGCCACTGACATGTAAAACACTTTGGATAAAAGCATCTTCCTTGCCTCATATGTCATTCATTTACCATAATAATTGCTGTGGTATTCATCCAAAATGTCGAACACAGTGCCAACAAATTAAGTTTGCTGAAAATAAATGCTAAAACAAACAAAAAATGAGTATTTTCTTTTATTCCATGTACACAAGTCTGATTACAATTTCACAGTGTAAACGCATAGGTTTGAAAAGGGCAACTTTCAGTGAGCTATGCTCCCATGCCCTTTGCTTACCACATATAGAACTGGAGGTTGTTAAGCGACCATTAGCTACATTCGCTAAATCTCATGGGTTGCGGTCGGATAATCCAAAAATCAGCTCCTAACGTCTAACCTTATCGTCTATTCCTTGACCTCTGAGTGAAAAGTCACGGGGTTAAGGGATAGTGTATAGGAGAATTCAAAAGGACTTAGGAGAAGAGACTGCGGTACTTTAGAGAATCCGAATGCACTTTCACCAGCCGACGTGTTTATGATGCGCCAGCGGACATCATAAATGTGCTTCTGCTGAACTACAACTTTCCGAAAGCGGATTACAATAAGCGTTAATCATTAATAAACGCTGTTATTGTGTTGTTATATGCTTTATGAACGTGTGCAACAGTGAACAATATGTTGTACATTAGGGTTGAAATTAAAACAAATAAATACAGTAAAGTGAGAAGAAACTCGTTGTCACATTGATATGTGTTGCTTACACTCACCTCACCCTCCTGGCAACATACAAAACAAATTGATGGAAACCATGTTAGACCTACAACATCGTATTGCTGTACATATCACCATTACTTAAGTTTATAACATGTTGAATTAAAATATGGCCAAAAGTCCAATTAGATTTGAAGCTGTATTGCTTATTGATGT